CGACAAGGAAGCGCTAGATTGGCTGTGTAATCTTTCCATACGCTTATAGCATTTAATAGTTGTCACTTTGTAGTTAGTTTATTTAATTTATCTAGTTTATTTTAGTTATTTATTTATATTTACCTGTTATCACTTTTATTTTATTTTATTTTATTTATTTATTTTATTCCGTTATTACTTTTTGTTGTACACCAATACCATGCCATATGCAATAAAAAAATGATAATCGTGCCTCACGATGATCATTGCGCATGCGCAAGTCTACTTATTTAACAGCCACGTGCATTTGTATACATACGCTTGTGTGTGTAATTTATGTACACAAGAACAAATGGCAGAAGTGGCGTTGGACGATGCCTACTGACACATGTCATCGGAACATTGCCGCCGGCTGAGAAACCAGCGTTTGTTTATGTAATAATTATTGCATGCATTTCTTATCGATTGATTGCTATTTTCGAGGCTATTTTTGATAATAAAATACGAAATTATATTTAATATAGTAAATGATAATGCATATTATTAAACTTGGTAAAAAGATTTTTTTTCAAATAAAATCATTAAACGTTAAAAATTACTATCAAAATATTGAATACTTTTCATTTATTTTTAATTAACCTCCACTTCACCCCCAAAACCACCACTGATATAGTGATATAATTATATTTTTATTTAAAACGTAATGCATATAAATTATTAAATATGTTTACCTACTGCATTTTTATACTGATATTAATTGTTAACAAAATAAATACTAAACGATATAAAATTACATTAATTAAATAACAGAAGACAGTCAAATWCAAAAGTGACACAAAAATCTATTGTATTTTATTTTTATTTATTTTTTAACAGATAAACAACTTCAATATTTTGAATCTGCAAAATTAAAGAAACATATAAAAGTGGAATGACATCTTAGCATATCCCTTCCACTTCGACCACAACGGACGCTCTTAATGATTTTGTTGGAATTTTGGAAATTGTGGTTATAAATTATTTACAAACACGAATTGATTTAAGATTGTATAAGTGATGAGGGGGAGATGTAAAAATTTTGAAATTGTGGTTACAAATTTGTACAAATTGTATAACAATATTTACTGA